CTCTCTCTCTCTCTCTTTTCTATATGTCTTCCCAACGAGAGGCTGGCTCATAGATCATTCCCACCTGGACCAAAAGGGGTTCAACTTGCTCGTCCTGTGGTGCAAGAGCTGCTTTGAATGCTCCCCACAGAGAAAGATAACAGAGGGGGGGGAAAGGCATTGCAGCTGTGGGGTGTGTAATCCTCAAGATGCACCCACGATTGGGAAGCCGTACATCTGTGCCAGGGCCCAGGAGGTATGCCAGAACATTACGAACTATAGGCAAACAAGCATCCTCATTGAATGGCAATTGGAATGGACAAAGCATAAAGCATTTGGATGATTCACAACCGAAAGAGAAGCAATACAAATAAAAAAAAAAAAAAAATGAATGGCGGCACTGGGGTGATTAGTGCCACACTGTAATCCGTAGCTATGCGGGGGGCATGAGGCCTGGTAGAGAGATCTGGCAAAGTGGCCCTGCGTCATCACCAGGCGTGGCGCCAAGTATGTGTTGGGAAAAAGGACTGCTGAGGTCCTGCTATTAGGTAGCCAGCCGATTGGGACAAAGGGCCTCGCCACACTACTCCCGACTTGGCCATTTTCGGGAGTGCAGCATCACCACACCAGCTCCCGAGTTCAACCTGTCAGATTGAATGTGCAATGATCATAATAGTCCTCGCTGGGAGCGAGGATAGTGGGGGGATGCTGATGCAGGAACGCAGGGGCGCAGCGCGACCGGGAGCGCTGCGCCCCGCTCGAGCACCGTTGGAGCGGACACGGCGCGACGCAGGAGCTAATGGAGGATCAGGTGACGCGGTGGGCAGATGGGGGCAGTGGGTGTAAGACTTGACAGCGGGAGGGTAGAGACGATGTGGCGTGACTTGGTGTGGCCTGCCTTTTGAAAGCACAGGGGTGCCATCTCCGGCTTCACGCTTTACCTAGTGATGTTGCAGGCCAGCACACTGGATGAAGGGAAGACTGTCCTTGCATGGGGGCGAGTCTTCATGAGATTCTCGGCATATTGGTTGCCTTTGCTTCTCTGCCTGCGTGGTTTTGTGGAGGAGGGTCGGTTGATGCAGGCGGACAGGGAGGAGCGCGTCCTCACGTGGAGTGGGAGGAGGATTGGAGGCGACATCGAGTCCATTTTTTGAAGAAGGCCGAAGCGGTATCGACGGCAGCTGTGTTTTCGTCATGAGGGCATCCGGAGTGCGAGGGTGCTGTCATCGAATTTTTGTTTGTATTTAGTATGAGCTTGGCTCTTCTTTGGATAGACCCTCTCGCTGATCATATGGGTATGATGGTTGGATAATTCGTGTAAGTTGGTAATTCTGACTGTTGAAAATCTCATTTTTGATCCTTACACATCCTCCTTTTTACTGTCTGAGCGATTCCTTTTCTCAATTGATGGTCGATTCGTTTTTATGTTTTACTGTCCTTTCTGTTGATTTGTCGGCGGCTTAGTATTTCCCGTTTATTGCCTATTGATTGTTGATTCGTTTTTACGATTTTCCTTCCTTAATTTTTCGTGCCATACAACTTTGCTAACGTTTCTCAAACCATGGTTTGGGATCCTGATTCAAAAATCCTTTATGGATATCCAATCCTTAATTTTGTACGATCTTTCGCAAATTTCGTCATTCCAATTTGGATAATCAATTTCTATCGGATTTTATCTTCAATCATAGTTTAATTCTGATTGATTTTTCAAACAATCTTTTCAAATAATTTTATTCCCAAACAATTCATCTTTGTATGTTTTGGGAAAGCAAAAGGGGGAGGGTTGAATTAGAGGTAGGTGGGAAGTGGGGGGTTGAAGGATCGGCGACATAGTCTAAGAGTGGTAAGTCTAACCAGGAGGGTGGGGTGGGACGGCATTGGCCGGTGCTGGAGCATTTGCTCTGTGACCAGGGGGGGCTTGAGGCCATTGAAGTTATGCCGAGGGTGGAAGGCATAACCATCTTGCCCGATGTAGTTCTTGCCGGGGCGGCGACCCTGTAACCTTTTGGAGGGGATATACAATTAATAGAGGTGTCGAGAGGGGAAGACACTCTCTGTCCGTCAGAAACAGTTAGATCAGTACTGGGGCAGTTTGTGTTGCCTTGTAACCCTAGCTGGGGGGTATGAGATCTAATGATTTCTGGTACGACGTATCTTTCATTAGTGACGAGGGTAGGAGTTGGATTGTAGTTTTTGACCTTCCTCCTTTTGGTTTTTTCATATGGAGGGAGAAAATCGGAAGTAAGGTTTGGAAGTAATTTCGGGGGGTCTCACGCAGTAGGGGAAGGGTGACTCAGGGTGGTAAGTCTACCAGAAGAACGGGGTGGGGCGACAGTGGCCGGTGCTGGGGCGGTGGCTCTGTGACCATGAGAGGAGCTTGAGGCCATTGAAGTTATGCCGAGGGTGGAAGGCATAACCACCTCTTTCTACATAGCTGAGGCTGGGGCAGTGACCCTGTAACCCGATTGGGGGTTGGCAGCTAAGGAAGTCATCGAGGGAGAAAGACACTTCTTGTCCGCCAGAAGACAGTTAGTTCGGTGTTGGGGCAGTTTGTTTTGCCTTGTAACCATAGCAAGGGGGGCGTGAGAACTGGCAACTTCTGGTATGAGGACTGAAGGCTTGAGTGGCAGTTTCTCGGCTGTAGTGAGGGTTTGACTTGGATTGGTGGTAGTTTTAGCTCTGATTTTCGTTTCTCCAATTCTTTCTAAATCTTTCTCAAATTTTCTCGAATTTTTTCAAAATTGAGGTGAGTGGGATAAGTAGATGGTGGGATGTCAAGCGT